AATAATAGCAGTGGATCTGGGCCGATTCCCTCTGAAGCGGGTCAAATCCCCAATGGTAATAGTAATAGTCATGACGAAGAGAATTCTACTAATGATAAAGTTAAATGTAGTTTCGCTGATGCTTTGAAAAACGGACAAGGGACAGTAAAAGTAAGGATATCAGTAAAAATAAAGTTGAAAATGATAAAAGTAAGTTTGAAAGTAAAAAACTGAACAACCGTAAGGCTCGCCCGGTCATTGTGATTAAACCTAAAGAGTCCAAACAAGACTGCGAGGAAACTCGCAAGTTTTTGAAAACAAACCTGGATCCAAAAACACACAAAATCAGTAACTTTAGAATCGGGAAAGATGGCTCCATTATTGTTGAGTGTGCAACAGGATACAATGTAAATGAGGTGAAAAAGGGCATTGAAAGCAATTTGGGTGAAAACTACAACGCTGTTGTTCCCACATCGGTGCCAATGTTAAAAGTGGTGGGCATGAGCGATCAGTATTCCTCCGATGTTTTCATTGATTTCTTAAAAAGTCAAAATGAAGACATCGCAATTAATGATGTAAAAGTAGTTAACATGTTTGAAAATCCACGCTTCACTTACAACAAGTTTAGTGTTGTGATTGAAGTCGATATCGAGACGTATAAATGTTTGTTATGTGCGAAAAAAGTAAATGTAGGGTTTGATCGGTGCTCGATAGTTTCCGCGATTAATGTTTTGCGATGCTTCAGATGTGGAGAATTTGGGCACAAAAGCACGGATTGCAAAAATTGCGAACGATGCTCTAGATGCAGCAAACAACATAGCACCTCTAAGTGTACGTCAACTGTATTGAAATGCGTTAATTGTTTAAAAACTAATAAGGAGCGTAAATTAAATCTGGACGTCAACCACGCAGCATTTAGTTCTAATTGTTTTGTGTATAAAAAATTATATGATCAGAAAAAAAGCAGCTTACATTTCAATAAATAGCAACCAAGTTCCAGTAGTAATGTGAGTAAATTAGAGATTTTATATTTGAATATTGCGGGGTTATCTACAAACTACGTAACATTACGTCAGATTGTAGAAGAAAATCGTCCACTTTTGGTTTTGTTAGCAGAAACACATATTGTAGAAATTGAATCTTTTGATCAGTATAGCATTCCGGGATATAAAGCTGCTGCTTGTTTGTCACATTCGAGGCACACTGGCGGTGTTGCTATTTATGTCAAAGAATCAGTTCAATTCAATATTCGCCAAAACGAAGTTATTGATGGCAATTGGTTCTTAGGCATTACAGTTGAACGTGGCATGAAGATGGGTAATTATGGTGTTTTGTATCATTCTCTCAGTTCAAGTAATCAGCGTTTTATTGAAATTTTAGAGAACTGGTTCGAGACATTTTTAGATTCTAGTAAAATAAATATACTTGCGGGTGATTTTAACATTAATTGGCATGATACTAGCAATTCGAACCATCTGAAGCAATTAGCTGATTTCTTTAATTTAAAACAATTAGTAAGTGAATGTACGCGTATTTCCCGCCACAGTAGAACTTTGATTGACCATGTTTATTCTAATTTTGATTCTGTCAGTTCAGTTACTCAAGCTGATTTGAAAATAACCGATCATGAAACTTTAGTAATTAATGTCTTACTCAGTGTTAACGATAACGATAATTTTGTAAAATTGAAGTGCTGGAGGAAATATTCGAAGCAAGCTGTTTCGAATCTTGTTGAGGGAAGCGTGGATTTTCCATTAGTTACCGGAACTTTAGATGAAGATGCAGCTGTTCTTACTAACGTTTTGAAAACTTGTACCAATAAATTAGTTGAACAAAAGTTTGTTTCTTTGAAAAACTCGAACAGCTGGTACAATTTGGATCTTTTGCGTCTTAAACGGAAAAGGGACAAATTGTACAAAAAGTTTTGTAGATCTAATAATGACAATCATTGGACTAGGTACACAATCGCGCGTAATAAGTATTCACAATCGATAAAGAAAACTCGTTGTGAATATGTTCAAAGGAAGATTGATCAGCATCAAAACAACAGCAAAGAGTTATGGAAAATTTTGAAATCTTTGATGAAGCCTAGTAATTGTAAATCGCGGACCATAACTTTTGATGGCATATTAGAACAGTCAGAACAAGTAATTGCTTCTAAGTTTAATGACTATTTCGTCGAGAGCGTTTCACTGATCAATCAATCTATTGAACTGATCAATGAACCGGACGAAATAAAACAGCCGATTAATAGTAATTGTAGATTTAATGGTTTTCACCCAATTACATTAGATGAACTTAAAAATATTTGCTTTTCATTAGGAAAAACGGCTGGAGTAGATAATGTTAATGCTAGAGTTATTCAAGATTGCTTTCATGTCATTCGACACACTCTGCGGGACCTTATTAATCAATCATTGCAATCTGGGCACGTGCCGCATATTTGGAAAGAATCTTTAGTTGTTCCTATACAAAAAGTTGCTGGGACGATTAAAGCCGAAGAGTTTCGTCCCATCAACATATTGCACACATTAGAGAAAATTTTGGAACTTGTTGTAAAAGGCCAGCTGTTAGAATATTTAAATAGTAACTGTTTGTTGATACCGGAACAATCGGGATACCGGGAAGGCCATTCTTGTGAAACCGTGTTAAACTTAGTGTTAGCTAAATGGAAAGAAAATTTGGAGCATAAAGATACGATTGTTGCTGTGTTTTTGGATCTAAAACGCGCTTTTGAGACAATTTCTAGGCCCTTATTGTTGAGAACAATCAAGCGCTTTGGAATTTCGGGTTCTGCATACAAATGGTTTGAAAGCTATTTATCTGACAGAACACAAAGGACTGTTTTTAATGATTTTGTATCTTGTCCCGTTGACAATGACCTTGGAGTGCCTCAGGGAAGTGTATTAGGGCCCCTTTTATTTATTATGTATATTAATGACATGCGACGAGTTTTACGGTTTTGTGATATTAATCTTTTTGCTGACGATACTGTGTTATTCATTGCAGCTAAAGATTTAGAAGAAGCCGTTTCACGCTTGAATGAAGATTTGCGTTCTCTAAGTAGATGGTTGAAGTATAAACAATTGAAATTGAATATAAGTAAAACTAAATTCATGGTAATTTCGCGGAATCGTGTAGATGATGATGTCTCTGTTGTTATTGATGATGAGACACTTGATCGCGTTCAGGAAATTAAATATCTTGGCGTGATTATTGATGACAAACTCAAGTTCAATTCTCATATTGACAATGTCATCAAGAAAATTGCCAAGAAGTATGGAATCCTATGTCGCTTGAAAAACGATTTAACTATTGGTAGTAAAATACAGTTATACAAATCAATCATCTCCCCTCATCTAGACTTTTGCCCTTCCATTTTATTTTTGGCCAATGAAACACAAATATCGAGATTACAGCGTTTGCAGAATAAAGTAATGCGTTTGATTTTAAGATGTAATAGATTCACTTCCTCAACTTTTATGCTGGACGCTTTGCAATGGCTGTCAGTGAAGCAAAGAATTGTGTTTTTGACTATGGTGTTCATTTTTAAAGTAGTTAACGGTTTGCTGCCTCGATATTTGTGTGATCGGATTGAAAGAGGAAGTGATTTTCATAGATATAACACTAGAAACGCGGATGAAGTAAGAACACCACATCTTTTGAATAATGCTTCACAAAATTCATTATTTTTCAAAGGTATAAATGTTTTCAATTCGATGCCTAGACACATCAAGCGTGCAACTACACTTACAGAATTCAAGAGACGCTGCATTTCACATGTAAAAGCTGTTTATTGAGCAGTTAAATTTTTATGAATGGATAAATCATGTATCTTGACAAAGTTATCTCTAACGGATTATTTTGTATGGAGACTGTCATAAAGACATTTTAGTAATTGGTGTAGCATATACAAAAAACTACATTGTTTGCCTCGATGGTGATGATGGATTTTTAGTTTTTTGATTTTGTAGAAGTAATAGTAAAAATAGCTTTGAGTAGTCTACGATGGTTTGAGCCTCGCGCGCGAAATACAGGTATAAATGACTAATACGTGGCAATTGTGGCAAAAGCCTTGAATTAGTAAAGGGTTGGCTGGAAGTCGTTTCCTTGGATATAGTCTTGGCACTGCGGAAGCTTAAACGTGTAAATCCCAGGTCACGTGTAAATGGAAGTATTGTCGAGGACTATACTTGGACATTTGATAACTAGTTACACCTTTGAATGTTTTTGGTTGATGCCTATAGCATATTTAACAGGACATTTATATCTGTAATTGTAACCAGCTCGATTTTGTTTGCAAACCTGGTTAAAATGTTTATATTTAATTATCTTAAAGATAACTCGTCCAGCTCAAACCTTTGTAGGGGTAAGAGGTGGGACCATCATCAAAAAAAAAGAAAAAAAATTGACGCAAAACTGATCCAATTGATATAGCTTACTTTATCTATCACTCCCAGTATTTTAAATCACAGTTTAAGGCTCAATCGATGGGATTTGAAAATACAAATACGAACAGTATTGAAATTTCTGGATAAAACCTCTACACAGGAAGAAGAGAGTTAGTGGACAACCCCTTATTCAGCTCTGCGCAGGTTTTGAAATGCATCATTCACTGTAGTTTTTTCTCCCTTTTTATGGCACAGACCTGTTGGTCCATATTAGACACTGTAGTTTTTGATACTAACTGGTCGTTTGACGTTTCACTCCTCTCTTTCCTTCTCCTAGGAACAGAGGAAAATGAAACGATTTGTGACAACCAGTTTGTGTCAAAAAAAAAAAGGTGAACGATGCGTTTTAAAACCCGTGTATGCCGTCATTTCCCGAGCGTTTAAAAGGTTTAAAACTGAATATGATTTCAGGGAGCTCCTGTGTAGTTTTTTCCCTTCTTAAAATTTAGAAGTTTACAAGTGATATTGAGATCCATCTGGAAAAAAAAGGCTTCAAGAGCGTTCCACCTCGATGGATGTAACGCTAGGAATATTTCGATCAATATTTTACAACAATAGTTCGGTACTCACCTTTAAACTTGGGAAACCAATTCCAACAACGAAGTTCGCCATCCAGTTGACCAGCACCGCGATCGCCATCGCGCTCGGCCGCGGCCCCTGGCTGAACAGCTCGGCAGTAATCATCCACGGAATCGAGCCTGGCCCGACGGCGAAGAACACCACGAACGCAAGCGTTGACACCACCGACAGGTAGGACATCCAGTCGATCATTTCCTGCACGTAACCAAAAAACTCCTAAACTATGCGTGTAATAGTCCGTTGCGTTCCCGCATTTTAAAGGCTTTTTCTCGGGAGGTGGGGAAATCAGTTTGTTTTCATTTTTATACGGTTAGTAGTTTATTACGATGTAGTAGGAGGTTAGTAACATAAAACATAGGGACTGTTTGAATTTGAGAAATGAATCCGAAAGAGTACCATACATAACCCAAGAACGGAAGGACTGAAATAATCGAACCAAAAGAGTTCAACAGAGAACAGAAGAGAAAACCTAGGTTAAGTAGCGCGGATCAAGTTTTCGGTCCGTATTCGATCCCATTCCAGTTACAATACAGTATAATGATAAAGAACGTGTTAGCAAAACAAATTATGTAAACGTAAAAGTTACTGTCTTTCTAGGTTAGATCGCTATGTTGTCATTGAGCATTACGTTGTGAAAATTGCATTTTTCTTCGGATCAGTTGTGACTTGATTTTCTTGAAGTACTGGTATTTGGTTTTGGTTTGTAATCATACTGCCTATAGTAAAACTTGAAGCGTACATACTGATATAAAAAAGTTTTTATTTTGTTTGTTTGAAGAAAACGGGGGTGGTGGGTTTCGAAGCATGTCTTTGAAAACTTCGGATCGATTGGCAACACTGCAGCGCTGTCATTTGAAGCTTGTTTATTTTTGTACATACATAGTTCCGGATGGTAGTGGTGGTGGTGGTGTTTATTTGGTTGTTTTCTGTTGCAGCATAGTGAGTGAAAGCCGAAGCATCTGCTATTTACACTGCTTTTGTTGGTTTGACGTTTTGATTGGATCAGCGTGAAGTGATTTTTGTTCGTTTGGTTTAGAAATACTCAGATGGAGAGATGGGCAGAGAACACAAAATAAAATTCGGCAGCAGGGATTTGTACCTAAATAATCTTGCAACCCTTGCTAAAAGCTAGCATTTCACATGACTTTTACTTTTGATTCGAGTTACGTGCAAAATAATAATTGAGTGCATGGCAATATTTAGCACATTTCTTGGTGCTATTAGTTAACCAACTAAGATCAATTAATCAATAGAGTAAGAATTTGAGAATTACACGAAACATAAGGGAGATTGAATTTTTGTTCGATTGCAATACTCTCTAAATTAATCTAGTAAGAATAAGAAATCCTCGGAAAAATTATATTGGGAATGATCGATTGGCTCAGATATTGACAGTTCATTTGGCTCAAAGCATTCCTTCCGCTTATCTCTCCCTCTGAGTATTTCTAGTTTGGTTCGGTACAGCGTGAGACGTGCAGCAGTGTTGCCAATTTGGCTGGTATCAGTGAAAAACAAAACCATCCGAATAAATCACGGGCAAATCAATGCTTCGAAAGCGGTGAAGTACTTTTGGGATTTTGGTATTGTAAAATTAACCGTTTGTTTTTTTTTTATTGTTGTTGCACAGCGCGGTGTAAATAATGGTAATTTGAGAGGGGTTGAGCAAACTAATTTGAATGTTGTTCCTTTTCTGTTGAGCGGTGGGGATGGTAGGGAAATGTTTGTCAAAATGAAAAATCGAAACAGAAAAAAAAAAAATGGAACTGAATGTAGAATATACTGGAAGCTGTTGCTGGAGTGAGTGAGCGACGCGGATGAGTGGACCAAAAACACAAAAGAACATAAATTGAATCCGCGAACCGAATGGTCTATTTTCCCGTCGAATTCCGCAAAGCCACTCTCGGATAATGGAGTTAATTTATGGCTTTTTGTCGATGAACTCATGACCCGGGCGTGGGAGGGAAGATGGAGGGGGGGGGGGGGGTAAGCCGTCGTCGTCATTGTGGGGGGGGGTTTATGTAACCAACAGAAATTCCACATGGCGTAAACACGTGGCTGCCGTTAGTGGTATCAGGGGTAGCGCGGAGTGTCAGAAAGGATTGGATTGATTAAATTAATTTAATCGAAATGGTACGCAAAAACTTCATGCTGAGCTCGGATGTGAATGGCTCCGGAAAAAAAAGTACCCCGATTGTAAAAAGCGCAACGGACGCCCAGAGACAACAATTTCTCATCAACCGATTGGCCATCAATCGGTGCTGGGAGGGGGAGGGGGGTTGTGGTGGAGTGGTGAATTGTTTGGGAAGAAAACAAACCGAACAATGCAAATGACAAATGGCAATCAGGGCCCGTTTTGTTTCTGTCTGATTTTGATCGCATTCTTTGTTGGTGGTGGTGGCAAGGTTTTTCTTACGAGAAGGTTTGTGATGCTTGGGAAGATTGAATAACATTTTGATTATCAACAATATTTGATATTCAACAGTTTGCTTATATTGCTGATTGTATCTGAAACTGGACTGCCCCAAAAATGCAAAAAGTGTGATAAGAGTGCCCGTTTCCGTTAAATGGTGTTGGTGTCTTCAGAGCACTTCCCAAGTAACCAAAAGTTCTGATAAAAGGCTATTTGTGGCTTAAGCAGCTTGGTTGAAGGTGGTCTATAGAATTCTATGCAGATATATTGAAGTGAGCTGTTGTCCCGCCTATTGTTGGAGTTTTCAGTGCCAGTGATAGACTTGAATACGAAACACAACACCTTGATGAATTTTAAATTGTTTTTTGCCCGCTTGTGGCGCAGTGGTTAGCGTTTGTAGATCGCATGCCGAATACAATGGTTCAAATCCAGGAAATTGCTCTTTGTTTATTATGTTTGAATAGAATTTTGATGCACTGCATAAATATAACAATTATGATTTATTTCATATTTACGCATATACATTTAATTTTAAATAATAAAGACTTGTGCGGATTGCTTCATGTGGGCTATGACGGACCTTTTTAGAAACTTTCAAGTTGCCAAGAAGTTCCGGAACCGTTCCGTTTTGGAACTTTTTTTGAACTTTAGTTCAATATTTTATGACAAGTAATGCATTAGGTATAGGAAAAACATCATGATAGGGGGGTAAATTTCTCCTCGATGTAGCGTGACATAATTAATGCATGGGCTCTTTCTATAGTTTCTAAAGTAGCCAGAATGTTGTGTTGGAACTTTATATGCACTTTATAGAACTTGAAAGTGGGTTTTATCGTTGAATGCAGAACTTTTGGTTGCTTGAGAAGAAAGTACTGTCGGAACTTTATTTGAATTTTATGGAACTTGAAGGTTCTGTCGGAACTTTATTTGAACTTTATGGAACTTGGAAGTGAGTTTTATCATTGAATGCGGAACTTTTGATTACTTGGGTTATTACTTACAGTTTACTACGCGAACATTAAAGAAGTTCTGGAAAATTAAAATTCTGGGAAGTTACTTGAACAGACTGTGGAAACATATAACATGCGGCTAATATAAAGCTTAGGATGCTCTATGTTAGCCGTGTATAAGCCTTATATTGCAAAAAGGCGAATTAGCGGGCTTCTTGGTTACTTGGGAAGGAAGGCACTTCTAGGAAGCTTCAAGAGCTTCATGGTGGTTGCATTAGCTTCAGGAAAACTGCAGTAACTTTTAAAAGTTCTGAGAACTTCAGGGATATTTGGAGAACTTTCAGGAAGTCAAGAAGTCTTCAGAGATGGGCAGAGAGCTCGAGGAAAATTGTAAAAACTTTGAAGAAGCTGCCAGAAGCACCGGGAAGCTAGGTTTTGAGATCTTCAGGGAAGCTGAGAGAACTGAAGGGCAGTTCCAATAACTTAACGAAGTCTAAACTTCAGGGGATGTTAAATGACATGTAAGGGCAAATTCGGGATAATTTAGAATAGTTCTATGAATTTCAGGCAAATTTTGATATTCTAAAAGAAGTTCCGGGAAATTTAAGGAAATGGCAGGAAAGTTCTATTAATATCAGGAAAATTGGTGGAACATTAAGGAAGTCCCGACAACTTCTTGGAAATTTATGAAGCTTCAGAGTAGTAACAAAAACTTCAGATCAGCCTTAGAAGTCTTATTCAACATTCAGCAGGAAGTTGTCAGGTTTTAAAAGATGTTCTGTGAACTTCAATAACTTTCGGAAACATCCGGAAATTTTTGGATGGTTAAAGGGCGAATATCAAGGCAGTTCAATTAACTTCAGAACATAGGTGGAAACTTTTATAAAGTTTTGGGAAGGTCAGGGAAGCCTAAAGAAATTTAGGAAAGTTTAAGAACTAAAGGGCAGTTCCAATATCTTCAGGGATGCATCGAAAGAAGCATAAAAAGAACTCATAAACAATGCCATTCATGAATATTTAATCTTTCGATTATATAATTATTTAATGGTTCTCGGCTCCAAGGAGTTCTTTTGGACATTTGAGCCAAACAAATAAACTAATTGAAGAAAAAGCATGCATCGAAAACGTCAGGAACGTTTAGATTTTCGGGGAAGTTTAAAGATCTTGAAGAATTTGTCCTGATAAGAAAATCGTGAACTTTAGTGGAAACCTCATAACTGCAATAATTATTTCCTAGAAACTTCAGGAAATCTCCGGAAGCCTTAATGAAGATCCGGGAATTTAAAGGAAGTGCATGAAACGAGAAATTTAAATTTTTTTAGGAAGACTCCTGGATCTTCATAGAAGTCTCTAGAACATCTGTGGAGTTTTAAACATTCTAGGAAAAGTTCGAGAACTTAAGGAAAGTTCCAAGATCTTTGGGAAAATTTTAACTCCAGAGAAGTTCAATGATCATCAGGATGATGTAGAAACGTTCTAATTGGAGTTCCGTTAACTTCAGAGAAATTTCAAGTATTGCGGGAACTTCAGGGAAAATCGTTGCAGTGTCAATAATTTCAGGAAATTTGAAATAAACTTTGAGAAGTTCATAATTTTTCAGGAAGTCCAGAGAACATCAGAGAAGTTTAAAAATATTCCGAAAGATTCCCAGAATTTCAGAGGACACCAAGAATGTATAGTACTAAAAACTTCAGGAAAATCGTAACAGCGAGAAATTTACAAAAGCTTAGTAACGCAAACTTCAAGGTAGTTCTGAGAGCTTTCAGAACACTTAATGTTCTTAAGGGCTACTTTATGATCATCTGGAAATATGCTGCAGCTTTGGAAATTTGTAGGAAATGTAGAAAATTTCGAGA